ATATCTATATCTTGAAAATTTCATTGTGGAATGTGGTGATCCAATCTTCTTGTTTTTTTGTGCTTGTAGAATTTGACTTGTTACTAATTGCACAAAATCCTTGATATAAAGACAAATGTCAGATAGGATTGGATTAATTTTGTAGGCATAAATAGTTCACATGTATTGATCTATCTCAATTTCCTCTCGTGCAGGAAGATGGAGTTAATCTTTTGACCATTATCAAAGGTACTTGCACCTACCGCCGTTCAAGGAATTATGATTTTGTTGCGAATTATTTGCCTCCTAGCAAGTCAGAATTCAAGCAAGCACTATCGGGCAATGGGTAAATGAACACGAACTTTTCTCTTTCTAGATTTTATCTTCTCTGACTCCTAATTCTTTTTAGTTTAAATTCAATGAAATACGTAAAGTGTAGACACCTGTCCAAGCTTCAGTCATAGGTAGGAGCGGGCAACGCCTGGTTCGTTCCGGTTCCGAAGAGAACCGAATCAAACTGATTCTTAAAAATTATGGAACTTTGATTCCAGTTCAGTCCCATAATTAAAGTTCAATAATGGTAACGAGAAAATTTAGAATATAGACTAAAGTTTCATAAATGACTAAAACAAAAAGGTTAAAAGTTCGGTTAATTTTAGGTTTTTGGTTCCGGTACTAGAACCAAGAACCAGACTGAACCGGGCAGTTCGGTACTTTTGTCCACCCTTAGTCATAGGTTTTAACAAAATATGATGTGTGTGCATGTAAATATCTATATATATGTGCATATTAGTGTGGATTTATCATCTGCAATTTACTTATCCTAAATTTAATGTTTGTCTTTTGAATTTAGTTGCATGGCCTAAAGATGGACAATTATGTCGTTTATTTTATTCTGCACACTGATCAAAACAGAATATGCGATTTCTTCGTGGTAGATAAATAGGTGAATCTTAATTGCATATCTAATTCCTTTGTCTAAGATTCCTTAAAGATGGTTTGCATATAATTCAATGCAGATGGTTACGCAATTATACTGGTCCTGTGATGTGGTCTACTATGGAAGATGGGAAGATAGTGAGAGGTCTCTCAGGTGTTCCAAGTGAAGGTCCAGTCTTGTTGGTTGGTTATCACATGCTCACAGGCTTAGATATCATTCCATTAATTGAACAATTTCTTCTGGAGAAGAAGATCTTGGTTCGTGGTATAGCACACCCTACATTGTTTTCACATCTTGTTGAGAGTAAGGGCAAGGACTTTTCCTTGGTTGACATTCTGAGGTTATATGGTGCATTACCTGTAAGTGCAAGCAATCTTTTCAAATTGTTCAAAACAAAATCACATGTGCTACTTTATCCTGGTGGCGCTCGTGAGGCTTTTCATCGCAAGGTGTGTAAGCATATAAAATTCTTCTTCTTTTTGGGGATGGTGGTGGGGGGTATTTCTTAAAGCTAGTATAAATCTTGACATTGATGTACCTTCTTATTCCAGGGCGAAGAGTATAAATTATTTTGGCCTGACCAGCAAGAATTTGTCAGGATGGCTGCAAGATTTGGGGCGACAATTGTACCATTTGGAGTTGTTGGAGAAGACGACATAGCAGAGGTAATTATTCTTTTATTGATTAACTATATTAGACATTCTTTCATGTTTTGTGATGAATTTTCTTTGAGAGTTTCTTTGCTTGTACTTCCATAAAAGAATTAGTCAGTTTCAAAATTTCAACTTCCGACTTCTCATTTTCACATTCGAATATGACATTTGCTGCAGCATAAAATCTTGACAAAACCAGCTACAAAGAGACAACATGAGGAAGGTTTAGTTAACTGTTCAAAATGGGGATCTTATTTTGGGACACCCCGAAGATGACTGGATGAAGTTAATTCTTGAGCACCAAGAAAGTCTGAATTCTCATTCTTAGATCATAAAATCATCTCGCCCCTTTTAAAGCTTTAAGACTTGGGGTTCCATTTTAAAACGGTCATCCTTGTTAACAAGAGCAGTCCAGGCTCTTATATGTTGGATAATATTTTCTTCTTTATTCGATGTGAGTTTATCCCTTAATATGTCTCGCATTATAGTAGCCAATTTGAGTGGATCTATCTTGAAATTCATATGCTCGTTTGAGTCATAATGTAATCGAACTACTCGTTAGAATTTAATGGACTTTGATACCTTATCAAGACTTGATTTTCCATCTTAAAAAGTTATCTTATTAAAAAGAGTAGTTCAAGCTCTTATGTGTTAGTATCTATTGTCATTTTTATCCAATATGGGATTAACCCCCCAACAAAAAGGACAGAAATGAGGTTATAGGCCTATATATCTGGATTTACGATTTATAGTTTTGCAATTTTACCACCATGAATGCCTTATTTTAGTTCAAAGATCGGCCATTAACGAGGAGCACATGATCTCAACACAATTTTTCATCTACATATTCATGAAAAAACCTGCACATCTACATATATTGAAGTGATCATCAAGCTTAGAAGCATTGCTTTTCTTTAGTCTGTGAAACTTGAAAATTCTTCTGCTGAAAATCACTGTCTATATTTGCTCCAAATGTACATATTTTATATTGTTCCATATCAGTACCTATGTGTTTATGCCTATCTGCGCGTGTGAAACTTGACAAATATATTCCTTCCTAAAATTGACATCTTCATTTTTATTTTTAATTGGCAGTTGGTTCTGGACTATGATGACCTGACGAGAATTCCAAATATAGGTGACAAAATTAGAAGAGATAATGAGAAGTATAAAGATCTAAACATAAGGTAAGCAATCTACATGGACAATACTATTTGTAAAGTCATGTTGGGCTAAATACGCAGGCCATCACTAATCTTTCAGTGAAAATTTTATATTGGTCCCTAAACTTCATTTTGTTTCAAGTTGTTTACTGAACTTAAACTTTGTTACCCCGACCCGGTAGTTTGACTAGTGGAAAAGGTACTTGGCAATCATGTTATTTGTCAACTAGACTATCATGTTAGCTACTCACAGGCACAGATGCAGTGACCAAATTGTAATAAATGTTTATTTAGTTACCAACTTTAGACAAATTGAAACTCAGTGACCAACTCGGAACGAAACGGGAAATTTTGCTAAAAGTTCAATAACCACCCGTGCTTTGAGCCCCCCAATATTTGCACAAAGCTTGGTTTATTTTATGCTCAGGTAGGTGTGAAACTGAAGCTATTTCTAATGACATTAAAAATGATCTGATTACAGGGCTGGAATCAGTGGGGAGGTCGCCAACCAAAATTTACATATCCCAGTTATTCTGCCTAAAATTCCTGGCCGCTTTTACTATCTGTTTGGGAAGCCTATTCCAACAAAGGGAAGGCGAGAGATGTTGAAGGACAGAACTAACGCGAGAAAATTGTATTTGCATATAAAATCGGAAGTTGAAAATAGTATGGCTTATTTGATGAAAAAGAGAAAGGAAGATCCTTACAGAAGTATAGTCGACAGGACATTATATCGGGTTCACCATGCCCCTATGGATCAGGTCCCGTCTTTTGAACCATGAATGACAGGTTTGGAAGGTATAAAGAATTTTGCTACTAGCTATATGACGTCAAATTTCACTATCGGTTTTTGGTGACAAGCTTATGATCCCACGTTGCGT